TGTTTACAGAGTGTGAAACTGTCTCCGGGATCGTAGTATCCCGGATGTAAATAATAAACAGCTGATCTTTGCATTTGTTGTGAGTGTATCAAGCGAATAGATTAGCGAGCGAGAACACAATATGAGAGAACAAGCGTAAGTGTATACTCGAGAGTAAAACTGATCTACTGTGTTTTCACACAGGTGACATGTTATAATGATGGCGGAATGAGGAAATTGAATTGTCTGAGGAGAAAAATGGGCAATATTTAGTTTTCTCGGTATAAGACCATTTTACAATTATATAGTTTCCTATTTTGCTCGATGCGAAATGATTGTCTTACAGGGAAGGTGTTCATGCCACGAGTTAATAACTATTTACATTATTTCCAGTGTTTTCATTATTGATAAAATGAGCTTTCACTGTGGCAACTACGACAAAATACGACATAATATATTCAAGTAATTAAGACAGTTTGTATGTTTGACGCATAAATATCAAAAGTCAAAAGTTGTCAGCCTCATAGCCAGTGTCGATACAATTTTCTAGTTTCTGAATTGCACCCAATATTACTTTATTCCAAGAAACTTTAGGTTTATAAATATATTATAACAATTTAGTCATATCAAAAACACTAATTACTTTTTCTAATCAAAAATTGAAATAAGCTTCACCAAACTAGTTAATTTATACTAAGTTAAGTTATACTATATTCTTGTATGAGAAGGTATAAATTACAGAACAAGTTATAATTTGTTACAAAATGCAGTGAAAATCAAAAGTTGGCATTTTTTGTCAGATATTTTTTTTTACAATTCATTAATTTTATTAATACATTCCTTTATATTCTTTTTACAACTACAGAGATTAATGTTCTAGTATCATGCAGTATTTAAACTTAATTACATTCTACATTCAGTTCCATTCGAATTCAGCTAAGAAAGTTTTCAAGAGGATTGATTTGTCCAAGTTTTCTGAATTTTTGTATAATAACCAGGATTTATAGATTGACAAGGCCGCAATAATGATTAGAATATTTATGCGACTATTCGCATTTGGAGGCCACAGATTATAGTTGCCTGCATCTATACCTTAATGTTGACGGGGTATAGCATGCTACGCTAGACATGCTTCAATTGTGCGCCACAGACTCGGAAAAGCTAAATTTCTTTAATAGTTTGTATTAGACATTAGTATATATAGTGCAATACAAATACATATAGAGCAGTCCTCTTTATTCAGTTTCAAGCTGTGTTCAAGATGTCTGTCCCTATATAGTAATTACCGATAGATTATCTATTTTATTTTTTTATCACTTGTACACCAGCTGACTGCGTGGTTTATTTGTTCGAGTTCATAACCGACGGATCTCGTGAAGTGCGAATCTGGGCTTACACATGGTGTGAGTTCGAGAAGCATTATAAAGTGAGATACAAACGCATAAGGCATGTTTTCAAGAATTGTATAAGAGGCTTACTATGTTTGTTTGTGTGTGTTTTGATTTTTTACTCCATAGTTACAAACTATGAACCATGCGCAGAATACTGCCTGTGTGTATGCACTAATAAACTTTGAACTAATAAAGGGTCATGATTATTGCAATTGTGAATAAAATATGCATCAAACTGTTATTTGACGAGTTGACATTGAAAGGTCGAATTGTTGTGACCTTTAAACCTGTCATCGAATTATTGCTAATAAACAGCGCCCTCGTCGTATAACATTGAAATTTTAACTACGCCCTCGATGAACACTGTTCTTGTATGCTATCACGGGAGGTGAATATCCCGTGCGGATTCCTGTGTTCTATTTGTATGCATTCCTTCAAACCTCTTTACGCCAGCATTTCTATTTGTTATTAAAGAGAAGTATTGCACTGTTTAATAGTAAACGACTTTAAGCTAGTCATGTTTTTATGTACCTGTCATATATGGGCGTTGTCAGAATTCCCACGGGTAACGCTTGTATTGAAACAATATCAAGCGTATTTTCACATTGCTATCAACAAGCGTGGTTTCAAATAGCGGCGCCATGCAATTCTTCACTGATATTTTATTATCAGTAGTGTAATTAAATCGAAATCAAAAATAACATACTTGGTGTGCAATTTCTTTTTCGTATCGATTGTATTTTGTGGAAATAAGAACATTTTGACTGAAAACGCTGAATGCACATAAATCTATACTAATATACGAGTTTGCCATGCATTCATTTCTACAATGTACAAGTCACGTCATTAATATATTTCACATGCTGAGTTGTTGTATTTTGACGCAAACAAGCCATTCACGGTAAAGACTTGGCAGCTTTCACCATATTCTGTAACTTTTGTTTAAGAATGCCATGCGGTAGAAACCCCAGTCCACAGTCAGGCGCCACCAGTAATCGCTCAGCGGGAATGTACTTCAATGCCTCAGACAATCTACTACGTATCTCTTCCGCAGTCTCCACACGACTTCTAGCTACGGCAACGACTCCCAGAACAACTTGCGATTTCTTAAAGTGCTTAAGGAGGGTTAGGTCATTGTGTCGATGAGCATCTTCAATTGCAACTGAGAAGATGAATAGAAGTTTGATTAAAACAATGGCTACTATCCGACACCACCGTCGCTGTTGTTGGTGATAGTGGACTTTTTCATAGGAATTAATATCATATGATAAACATGGGAATAACTTACTTTGATCAAATATCGATTCATCAAGATTGCTAGCGAGTCGAAAATAGCTCTGTAAGTCAGCCTTTGAGTAGTTCTCGTCGTCCTACAATGATTATTATAAACCAAGTTCAAATTCATTGGATTATCTGATATATGGACGACGTGTATTTGTATACAGAGTGGTCCAGGAGTGGAATGTCGGAGTGGATTTGGTTATCTTGACTGATATTGGAGTTAGGTGAGTGGGTGTCGATTTTAATGGTGACAACATTGATCGGTCAGTATACACGTAAGATACCCCAACCTACTGTTTGGAAATTATGCCATGTGTTCAGTAAGCAAAAAACACCGAATAAACCAGGGGGGAGTTGCATGACACGATTGGTTGAAATAATCGTTTCATTTGCATAAATTAATATTCATGAGCAATTAAAAAATCGTTTTTTCAGTAATATTGTGCCAAAATGCTTTCCGATAGCATACATGTTAGTTCTAAATTGACTGATTCTATCGTTACGAGCTGAAAAAATAATCGGAAAAATGATGTATACACAGCTGCTGAATGAAAATGTAATTATAGCGTTTTCATATGAAACGTAATTATGATATAATTAATTACGTAATTATACTGTTATTTATTGTTATGGTGAAAATACGTTTTTTGAAAATGTCATTATGACATTTACAACTATAATTATGCAACGTATTTTTGAGACGTCATAAAAACCATCTGAAAAATCGTGACATCGAAACATTTTCTAATTACATCATTATAACGTAATTTTCTACAATGTATTTATTATTATGTTATTAAATATCAGTATTGGACTATCATTAAATAATTTCCTATCAATGTTTTTATATAACGTATTTATATTATTTTTATTTCAAACGTTATGATAACCTAATAAAATGAGGCTCAATATGAACTATTTTAAAACAATGATAATGCAATTTTATATACTGCTATTATACTGGTCCAAGACAGAAACGTTATTACAGCATAATTTTATTACGTATTAAGTATTAGTGTTTTGTAATGACTTGCCATTTTCAAAATTAAAGTATATTGAAATCATGTTTTATTTCATAATTCTAAAATTCTAAAACGTTATTATAACGTATTTTATTAGCAGCTATTCACTGTTTACTTAGTTGTGTAGACACATATTTTTTTAAGAAAACCGAGTTAAGTCAATCACACTACATGTATATTATATTTTAAAGATGTAATTGTTAAATAATATTATTATTTTTCTTATGAAAACGTTATTATAGCGTAATTTAATTGCGGATAAATACAAGTACTGTTTTTATCTTTGCACCCCTATCCAAAAAATGGTATGGACCATAAGCTCAGTACTGAGCATGCTCAATCCGTTGGCTTTCCCGCAACGATAAAGCTTGTGGGTATAACTGTTGCCGGCATTATCTTCATTCTTCGCATGGTAAGTGGTCAAATAGTTGTATAATCTATACAAGTTGTATATTAATATTAATATATATGATTCAGACAAAGATTTTACTCAGAAAACTATGATTATTCAAGCTTATCGATCAGAAAGATGGTTGCTAGCCTGAGTAGTATTCGGTCCCAATTGTATTACAATGTAATTTTGTGTGTAAATGGAGATATTGTATTGTTAAATAAAGTACGTATATTACTATATCAGTTTAATTTTAATAACTGTATACAACGCATTTTATGCATCACTGAAAAACGTAATTATGGCATTATGACAATCATGAATTTACGTAAAAAAAATCACATAAAAAGGACTGTATTTTTCTGTTATAAAATATCATTATTTTAATGTTTTTTTTTAAAATGACACTAAAGTTATGACATTTAAAACTGCAATACAAGCATTTTTTGGCAAACGTCACTATCACGTACCCAGGGAAGATACATATGTGGCATTTAAAAATAACAGTATTATAACGTTATAAAATTACGTTATAATAACGTTTTAAAAAACGTTATTAGTATGATATTGCAAAGCATAATTATGCTGTATTTTTGCAAATGTCATTATAACATAATTATTTACATTGTAAATGCATCATTTATTAATGTTATAAAGTTGAAGTTGGACTCATTTTTTTGGTTATTACAACGTTTTTTTAAAAACGTAATTTTGATCCATCTTATAACGCTATAATTACGTTTTCGATCAGCAGCTGTGTAAAGGTATTTTTTGAGACACGTTTTCGATCAGACTCCAGCTAACTGTTGAAAGTAAGCACAGGTTTTCTCTTTACCATGATCATGGCAAGTTATGAAATTCATGGAGAATGCAGAGAAACGTTTATATTTCACTCTAGTACTATTGCTCAAAATTGCTCAAAATGTTTTCAGTGACTTTTATCAGTGACAAGTTACCTAATTAGTATGCATTTCGAGAAACCACAGTGTGTGTGCATGCGCAGTTTGAAATGGAACAGTTTTGAACGCAATAAAATCACGCGTAGAACTCGGGCTCCAGCAAGAAATTGTGTCGTCAAACTGGTTGTCGGGTGAATTGTTTTGCAATAGACATAATAGACATAATTTTGGAGTCTGTATTTTTCTATGAAATGTTTCTAAGTTTTGTTGAGGATTATTCTGTAAATAAATTGCTGAAATTATTTCATCCGTTCGTAAACGGGACGTTGTTGCTTTGACGATGGATGGGCTACTGACGTCGAAACGTTCCATTCAGATCGGATGGCGCCCTCTCGTGTCAATCCCCCCTGGAATAAATGGCAAAGTAAATACTAAGTCAAATAAATTATAGTAAATGTGTACTGCATGCGTGACTCGAACCGGCGCTCGCGTACGGCACCTGATCGCCTAGCTTCACGCCACTACACGTATTCCCTCGGCCACCGGGCATCCCTATAATAAGAAGGTCAATAGCCGATCTGATTACATCATGCATGAAACCCGTCCACGCGATCCGCGCCACACAGCGAAGTCAGATTGCGGCAAATGCCTTCAGATCTGACTGTACTTGGATAGTGAAAGCCGAAAGTAATGGTACAGCGTTATAACAGTGAATAAGTACTGAGAAATAATTTTTGGCATTTTTTGTTTTTATTCTGACAGTTCTCTCCAATTTAAGAAGGGGATTTTTATATATGTTGCATCCTACATTAAGAACACAAACTGGGCAATAAAAACTGAAAGTTTCATCAATCTCATATTCCATTAAGTTAGTCACATGTTACGTAATATCTCTAAAACGACATATACGTTACTGTCCCGGTGCTGGAGTAAGTAAATACTTTTATAAAAAGGTATTTCAAAAGGAAGCTAATATGTCATTTTGATCAATCAAAAATATATTAACTTCTAATTAACGGTATCTATGTACTATGATACTGCAAAATAAGTTGTGTATTATTATAAATGTTGCTGCTCCAGGGATTAATAAAATGTACATTACCAAATAATTAATTGCTCTGCTGATGAAAAACGGTATGCTTTAATGTAATGTACTAAATGCAACTATCGTCCCAAGTCGCATTTTGTTTTGTTTACTACACATCTCAGATTTGAAATAAACAAAACTGAGAGAGGTCGTGTACGGTAACCATATATTAAATATCAGAGCAATCTACTTTGCGGTTTTCAAGGAGAACTTAAAAATATTAGTTTTTACCAAAAAGAACGAAAATATTTAAAAAAAAAATAGTCTAAAGATATCTGCACGAAATGAACAAACTTGAGAGATGTCTACCCAGGGTTTATAATACAAAATTTAAAACCACTCGGACTTGCACTTTTCAGACAATCGGTAATATGACTATCTCTCCTCGATGAACTCAACAGCGGAGCTAAATTATTCCGAGCACGG